CCCCCCCCCCCCCCCCCCCCCCCTATCCCTAGGTACGACTACAAGATCCAGTACAACGATATATCCAAGTTGTTCTTGCTGGAAAAGCCGGATGAGCGCTACGTGGCGTTCGTGATATCTCTGGATAAGCCTATTCGGCAGGGGCAACAAAAGTACCAGCACTTGGTGCTGCGTACAACAAAGGTACGGCGCCACGCGACGAATTGGTTGCATGGCCGAGCTTGCTCTATCTCATGATCGTGTTTGGTGAGATAGTGTTGGCGATACACCTTAGTAAGGCAGTGCCGGGTGCCTTGCGGGCCATTCTTTTCCTTTGGACGTTTACTGGATTTCCGCATCCCGCTCGAATGTGTCGCACCGTACACGCAGTAGATCCTTTGCACGTTGAGTGGTTCTTGGTATCCTGTGTGTACGCGTGATTTGTTCTGTGTGCGTAGCGCCTAGCCAATCTCCTCTCTGAACAGCATCGACTGCCGCACTGGGAACGGATATGCTTTGCGCCTCGTTGGAACCATTGCCATATTTGTTTTTGGTATCAGGACGAGGCCGCGATAACGGTGAACATGAGCGCGGAAGATCTACAGAAAAAATACGACAGCAATCTTAACTCGGAGATGATCGGGCCTCTTCACAACCTCGTCGCTAAGGTGCCGAAGCTGGTATTGCTTGTTGACGTGATCTGGAGCATCTCTTTGTACATGTCAGTGAAGTTGTTCCCTACTTTTGGGTTGTTCCAACCGCACGTTGTATGTGTTAAAGGCGAAACGCTCATTGCGGTGGATGTTCACGCTGAAGCAGGACTGTGCGGTGCTAGCATGCGTTCGCCCGTATATTGGGTTTCGAGCAACCCTTGAGCGAATCGTCGGAGGAAAGTGCTATGTTGTGCTGTTTCATACACACACCGATATCTCTCTCGAAAATCGACCTCATGCCGAAATCTGGTGGGTTTTCAGCGGCATGCAGTCTCCACTATGCATTAGTCTGCTGTATCTTTCATGTGGATAGGTGACGTTACTGCTTCAGAAGTGCATGTTGCACCCTCGACGATTGACGATCGTGTTATCAATGTCAATGCCAGACTTGCGCCGCAACAATGTATCCCTTTTATCGTTCACTGTTACCGTGGCCAGATCTTCAAGGTGCTATCGAGCAAGCCGGTTTACGTGACGGGCAAATTTAGCAGCACCAATGGCGCCAAGGCTGTCAAGTGTGCGCTAGGGGCCAACGAGGGATACCTGTACCCCCTCAACAAGGTACGAGTTCGTGCACATGTCGAACCTTTCTTTCTCGTTTACAAGAAGCGTATTGTGGCGGTTGTCCTAACACGGCGCCGCCGATGTCCCGATAATCTTCTCGTTTGCAGTCCTTCATCTTCATCCACAAGCCGACTTGCATCATTAGCTTTGACGAGATCGAGTCCGTCGAGTTCCAACGATATGGCGGAGCTCAGGTGGGAGCATGTGCAGGCGTGTTTGTTGCACGCGACCGTCTCGATATCAGTGGCACGCTTGCACAGTATTGACACTACATACATCCGCTGCGCTTGGTATGTTGGGTTAAATGCAGCCAACGATGGGAGCAATTGGCCTTGTGTTGATGTAGTGTAGGATGCAGCTTTGGCAAATTGGTGACTTGTGCCCCAAACGTCTTGTCGAGCGCATCACCCTCGCGTCGAGCAGCTCGAACGTTGCACCTACTCGCGCATGCAATATGGTTGTCCAGTCAAACGAAATCTTCAATGTTTGGCCTCTTACGAAGCTCGAGCCGCAAACGACACAGCGACGGCCATTCTCATGTTTCTCACGACAGGGAGCAGGCGTGACCCGCAACTTCGACCTGTGCGTCGCGCCAAAGTCAGTGGCGGGCGAGACCCCGAAGCCGTATGTGTTCAGTGGTATCGATCGATCGGAGTATTCCTCCTTGTACTCGTTTTTGAGCACTAAAAAGCTTCGAATCAAGAACATCAAGGAACGCGGCAACGACAACGCCATGCTTCAGCTCGGGGATCTTGATGACCACGATCCCTACAAGGCGGCCCTGGATGACGACGAGGTATCTTTGCCAAGGCCCTGCCAGGCGTGTCCAAGTTCGATTAGGCGCGGTCGCTTTAGACGCTGTTGTGAATGCTTGAAAGAACCTAGGAACCAATAGTACCAGTTATTTGTAGGGCGCAACTGCGTTCGCGTTGCTGCCTTCTTGTCATAGCAAATTCGTGCCAAGCCCACTTGCCGGGCCCCGTGGCGCTCTCAGGGCGAGGATGAAGAGAGTGAAGATGACGCCGACTACGCCCCGGACGCACGTGGTGGATCCGACGCGGAATCGAGCTCCGACTCCGATGGAGACGACGCCGACTACGCCCCGGACGCACGTGGTGGATCCAACGTGGAATCGAGCCCCGTCTCCGATGGGGATGAGGACGAGGACAGCGACGATGGCGCACACAAAACTTCGAAAAAGAAACCAGGGACTGGGTCTGCGAAGAAAGGGGCAACTCAGAAGAAGGTCGGCTGCAGGTCCCTTTCGCTCGTTTCTGCTTGTAGATAAGCAATGCCGAATCTGTTTTTCAAGGTAAACTCTTGTGTGGATGGTTCGAGTCCACGCATAGGTTTTAAAAAAGCACGTCGGACCAATCTCCGTTGGCGTTGTCGGAAATTGTACCTTCGCAAAGCCATTCAAATTGCAGCCCTGAACCTTCGTCGCTCAATCCATGCTTCCCTCAGCGTGCCTCGGGTGGACATTCTTCGAAACCGACGCCGAAGAAGAGGACTAAGAAGGACAAGGATGCACCCAAGGGCGCCATGAGTGCTTTCATGCAATTCTCCCAGGCGAACCGCGCTCAGGTGAGAGAGCTATGTTCGCACACTGATAACCCAAGACGAGGCCTTGCTTGTGTGGTGCGCACAGGCTTCAAACGACGTTTAGCTATTTTCCTGTCATTTCATCACCCCCCCGTGATCGGCCGCCCGGTGTTTGCCATCGGGGTTGGGTTTTCGTCGCTTGGCAACGACGTTGTAAAACAAGCCGCCCCCCCCGGTGTTTGCCATCGGGATTGGGTTTTCGTCGCTTGGCAAAGACGTTGTAAAACAAGCCAATTCACTTCGTGAACTCGGCAACCAGGTTACCGTTTTTTTTTTACCTCCGTTTTTTTTTTGGCGGTAACCATAATGGTGGTCGAGTAGATCATGTTGTGCGGGGTGGAGAAGCCTCACTCCGCACAAGGGGGATGACCGCACCACGTGGGTTGAAATGGTCAAGTC